AGGGAGAGAGAGAGAGAGAGAGAGAGAGAGAGGAGTACAAATTTGAGTGTCAGGCCTGAGCAGCTGGAAATACACTCAGGTACCTGGGATGGGAGGGGGGAGCGGGGAGCAGAGGGTCCCTGTGGGCAGTCAGGAGCCCCTCAGGGGGCTGAGCTCCGGGGGCCCCGCCAGGCACTGAGGCAGAGCCGGGCTTCTGTCCTCGGACACTGCCATAAACAACGGCGAGCACAGCTGCCTGCTGGCAGCCCGCGCTGGTTATGGGGACTCTGAGCTCTGAAGGAGCTACTACTGTGGAGCCACTGCGCCAGCCGGTCCTGAAGGCAAGTCCAGTGCGAACGGGCGGGTGGCATTTAACACGGTTTTGCTTTGTTTGTTTCTTAACAGCCAGCAGTCGACTGGCTTCTTGTCCTGCCAGGCCACAGCCGTCTTCTCCCTCTGGTCTGTGTTTCTTAACAGCCAGCAGTCGACTGGCTTCTTGTCCGATGGGCTGCCTGCCAGGCCACAGCCGTCTTCTCCCTCCGTGGGAAACAGCACGGAGAAGCAAGGCCTGGGGAGGGAGAGGGTGTGACTGCCAGGGAGGTGGCTGTGTGTCCATGCTTGCGTGTGTGCATGCACATGTGTGTGCATGTGCATGCGGGGGGAGGTGTATACACGTGTCGTGCCTCTGTGTGTGCGCGCATGCACGTGTGCATGCATGTGTACACACGAAGACTGCATGTGCCCTCACTGCCAAGAGTGACCCACGCGCCGTCTAATTGCAGGTTCTCTGCAGGGGGAAGAGCTGGCGGGTCCTCAGGTGCCCTCACTTACTCTGCCCTGAAGAGGCCTTGGCGGTAGCGGGCTCTGAGGGAGTCATGCCCCGCGAACAGCGAACATTCAAGCTTCCAGGGGAGGATGTGAGTCGCGCCTCGCCTCGCCTGCCTCCCAGGGAAACAATGCGCAGAGGGGCCCTCCAGCAGCTTTACAGCTTTAACTGGAAAAGCTGATGCTTCTGACAAAACTGCCTGATTTCAATGTTCTCACCTGGAAGAGAAAACAGAAGGAAGGGCAGCCCCGGCTCTGCTGTTGGCAAAGCACGGCTGGTTCCCAGAGCAGCAGCCAGCCTTCTGCGCTCAGTCAGGGCAGGGGCGTCCTGCAGCCTGGACGGCTGGTTCTGCGCTCAGGGCAGGGGGGCGCGGTCCGTCAGCCTGGACGGGCCCTGGAGCCCAACGTGTCCTTTTTGGAGGCACGTCCCTGAGCCCAGGAGCTGGAGCTGGGGGCCTGGGGTGTTTGAGGGCAAGGCTGGACGGCGCCTTTGTAAAATGTCAAACGCTGACCCTGGGCTGACAGGAGCCAGCAATCGCCGCCTGGCTTGGTGTCCCTGAGGGACAGGAGGGGTGAGGAGAGGGATGGGGGTGAAGGGGTTAGGTCCCCTCCTGTAAAACATAATACAAACGGAGCCTCTTTAAAAATGGAAAAACTGCCTTGCACGTCTTGTGCCTCAAGCCTTTGGGATGTTAAAATGGAGCAAAATAACCTCTGGACGGGCTTAAGCTCGTGTCCCAGAGAACTGCGTGCAAAGAGGGTGACAATACAGATATTATGACCAAGGGGCTGATGGCTACAGGGCTGAGAGTTAAAACCTTGTCCACAACCAGCGTCACCCCGCCAGCCTGGCTCCGTGGTTGAGCGGTCGCCCTGTGAACCAGGAGGTCAGGGTTCGATCCCATCCACAACCAGCGTCACCCCGCCAGCCTGGCTCCGTGATTGAGCGGTCACCCTGTGAACCAGGAGGTCAGGGTTCGATCCCACCTCAGGGCACAGGCCGGGGTCCTGGGCTCCATCCCCAGTGTGGGGCGTGCAGGAGGCGGTGGGGCCATGATTCTCTCTTATCATGGACGTTGCTCTCTCTCCCTCTCTGAAACCAACGAAATTGTATTTATTTTAAACACGCAATTAGCATCGCGGTGTCAGCTGACCTGCACCTGTGGAAACGCCTTCCCCCATAGATGCGATGGCCCCCTTCCCATTCGCACAAGCGCCCCGCCTGTCACGGCGCCGCACACCGAGATTCTCTCTCATCATGGACGTTTCTCTCTCTCCCTCTCTGAAACCAACGAAATTGTATGTTTTAAACACGCAATTAGCATCGCCGTGTCAGCTGACCTGCACCTGTGGAAACGCCTCCCCCCATAGATGCGATGGTCCCCTTCCCATTCGCACAAGCCCCCCGCCTGTCACGGCGCCGCACACCGAATCCGCGTTTCCCAAATGCCATTCTTTGATCGCATATAAATGCTGGTCCTCCTTGGCTTTGAAAGGCCTTTTGTTTTTTAATATATTCTTATCGATTTCAGAGAGGAGGGGAGAGAGGTAGAAGCATCAGTGAGAACCGATCAGCTGCCTCCTGCACGCCCCCTACTGAGGATGGAGCCCGCAGCCCCGGAATCAGCCCGGAACCTAAGCGTGACCTCCCTGCTCTCAGGCCCGCGGGAGGGGAGGCAGTTAGGTGGACACCGGGCGGGGTCGGGGCCAGTGGCGGAGGGGCCGCTGCATTCCTTCCCCCAAAGGCTAAGCAACGGGCGGCCGGCGGCT